CTCATCCCCAAAAGTTTTTCAGCGGATTTGGGCTGTACTCAGCAAGCGCAGCACAGCCCCCAACTCAGAATTGGAAAAAAAATAAGTGGATGGCTGTTTTCTGACTGGTCGGCAGACCGCCGACCGGTCGGCCCTACTGATCGGCTGCAATACGGTCGGCGGTCGGGGTAGGCGGTCGGTGGGTATGCAACCCTGGTAGCCAGAATGAAAACAAAATTTGTGCCCATGGCAGTTCTGTCCGGGTGCGGCAGAAATCAGTCTCAAGAAAAAGAGGCTCCGAAGTACTGGTGGCTCAAGGACTATAGACATCCAAGCAACCGAGAAGGAAAGCATAGAGGGACAGCAAGATGGTGCAGCAGGTAATGACAGGTAATGAGGTAGCGTATGTGGAACAGAGCAACATACCCTGCGAGCCATAGGCCCACCACCTCCACCTCCACCTCCACCTCCGCCTCCACCTCCACCTCCACCTGCACCTGCACCTGCACCTCCATATGGTGGCATGCGACGCATCCCAGCCGGGCCCGTCCAATTTGAAGCTTCATTTCCCTGGCATCAAGAACAATCATTCCAGCTCCTTGAGAATCACATCACACACATGCCGCATCCCTTCATGACACAACCCTTTCAGAGTTTCATAAACCCCGCCGCTTTGCCCGTGCTTTTCGTAACAAATAAAAAAGCCAGTGCTTTCTTTTCCCTCTTTTCCTTTCCTTTCCGTTGTTTTTTGCCCCTGCTTTTCAGAGCATTCCGTAGCTTTTCCGTATGTCTCTGCCCACCGTTTGCTTGTAATGTTAATCTTGTTTCACCTCCAGATCTTGTCATTCCAGAGAGAGAAATCACTAACGCTTCAGTCTGTGACTGAAACGGTGAGGAGGGTAAGTTTTTTTTCCTTCTCTGCTCGATTACGTAATCGATCGCTTATCTTACTTCGAGTTATACCCACTGTAGGAGTTTGAACCTCCTTCACAATAACCGACCAGTTGGACTGTGCATTTTCATGTCCCACCGGAGACCTCAATTGAAGGGTGATCACACTGTCATCCCATCCACCAGTTGCACCCGAAAGTGCACATAGCCTGGATCCCAACCACATTAGCAAAATTAGTTGTCCCTGGCGTACCTCCGATTTTGTGGACAGTCCATGGACATGCTGTTGGAAAGTGCCGCCCATTTTTCAACACTCTCCATGCACATAGTTGTGCATCGTGCACACACGATGGCGATCGTGCAAACTCACACACAATACACAGAAACCACAAATGCATGCACATTGCACACACATACACTCATGTGTGCACGCACAGGTTGCACCATGGTTCACTAAACTGACAGCTCAGTTCAGCAGGCCCATATGCGCACACAGACTCATGGAGAACAAAGACCGACCCCAGTGGCAAATGCTTGCACACACACACACACACACACACACACACACACACACACACACACACACACACACACACACACACACACGCAGCCAAGTTCCACTCAAGAATCCCTCCATCTGTCCAAACCCCTGTTCATGATCACATGAGTGCGATGTTGTGGAGGTGGACTACAAGGTGTGAGTGGCAGCCAAAGATAAATTATGTTTCCCCTCTCCCTCTCCACATCTCCCCCACCCCCACATAAGGGCATCCCACCCCATACTTCAACTTTCAACGTGAACAACCTTCCACCTCCCCCCCCAACCCCAATCGTTTACGTACCCAGCCATGACCCCAACACCTAGCTCAACCCGCATTCAAAGACTCAACCAACGTTCAAACCCCGGTTTGTTTCCCAACCATTCTCTGACAAGTGTGCATGCCTCCCTTCCTCCACACCTTGCAAACGGAGAGGTTCGCAAGGCCGTGTTGTGTGTCTTCGCTATACACAGCTGCACAAAGAAAAGCATGACCCTGCATGACTGTATGTGTGTGTATGTGTTTCAAAGAACCCCAAACTCTCTCTCTCTCGTTCCATCCACAAATCATCACAGACCATCCATAAAACAAAAAAAAGGTATAGATATTAGATAGGCGATATAGTAGCAGGTGCAATGTTGGACACGTTTGTGTGGTTGAGAGCCAAGTGCCCACACAACCGTCTGCCACTGGCTTCAACCCCCCCCCCCCCCCCCCCCCCCCCCCCCACCCCCCCCTCCCCACGAACCGACCGTTGCTGTCCTGGGACCCGCAAGAACAACCAAAGGTACCATCCTCATGGGTCTCCATCGCACTGCGACATGGCAACTGCCTCGCGGTGTCGCCCACCCACGGGAGTCGGACATGGGCGAGATCCATACGCCTTCAGCATTCTTTGCAGGTCCAAAATGACAGTACTACCAGAATCTGTCTTAGAAAAACCTGCTTTTCCAAGCCTTTTCCAGCATTTTCAGCGGGGTTCACGTCATTTCGTGCACAATATCTTCCGACGGCCGTTTCCAAAAAACGTCACTTTTCGGACATTTTTCCAGTGGGCCCGAGTGGGGTAGACCCCTTATTCAGTTCATCAGCTCAAAGAGGTTACTACGAGGTTTGGAACTTGAACGCTACCGTCTTCACCCGAATAGAACGCCCGGTAATTACGGCCGTATCTGGACTGAAAAATGCATCAAACACAGCTATAATGACCGGGCGTTCTGTTCGGGTGAAGACGGTAGTAGTCGCCCGTAAATCACCCTGGCTATGGGGAAAAAAAAGTGACGGCCGAGTTATCAACAGGAAAAAAGAAAAGCAGAAACTCACCCTGGGCCGAGCAAACTCGACCACGAGTCGACTGCCATCCAACTCTTTTCCATTCAGGTAATGGACGGCATCGTCTGCATCTCGGTGATCGACAAATTCCTGTGGAACATGCGAGCCCACAAACACGAAACCAAGTTAGAACAGAGCACACAATCATAAATACAACAAGCGCCAACAAGCATTCCAAAGAACAAACCAGGAAGGACATTAAGATCGCAAACACCAACCAGCCATACATTGGCAAGCTATTTGCAATAGGTACGCCCAAAGACCGACGCATGGCGCCGCAACGATTGCAGACCGACCCAAAAAGAATCCGTCCGCGGACATTATTGCACGTAAAAGAACTGTACCAATCCTATCCAACCAACCCCGTTCATTGAAGAAGACAAAGTGAAAGAAGAAGAAGAAGAAGGGGAGGAAGAGGAGGAGGAAGTAAGAGTCAATGGACGACGAGAAGGGGCAGTTGGGAGGAAGATGGGGAAGATGAACAAATCACACAATAGCACACGTGCATATATGCTGGAAGATCAAGAGAAGGCTGTGGGAGGAGGGGGGGGCAGACAAACAACAGTGGCAAAATGCTCATCACGCGACCTTGTGTATCTACTCGAGTCGAACGGAACGTACTAGGATTCCAGGGAACATACTGAAAGGATTAGCCGTCGCCACGAGTAAACGGAAGTTTAGTGTTTAGTATTAGGGTTTGCCGTGAAACATCGCGCACAAGCGGAATTGGGTGGGGTTGATGGGTTGCAGTGAAACAATTGCAAAGAAAGGAAATTGGACGGGTTGCGGAGAAAACTTGCACAGAAAGGAAATCGGGTGTGGCATTGATAAGGCGCACGATGGGACGGCGAAAGCAGCAAGGGTGACGGCGACAGAGTTCCCTGTGTACGACCTCGTGGCTGCACCGGCAAAGGAGTCCGGTTCTTTCCTTTTTTTTTTTCCCTCTTGCGCAAGGGACATGAAACCTTCGTCCTTTTTCTTTTTTTAAATTGTTCGCATTTTAGAGACCTCCGAGACCGGGGGGGTTAATCAAATAATCTCAAAAGAAGAACTTCACAGAGCAGGGAAAACAGAAAACAGATGAGCATCAGCTTAGCATACACTGGAGTAAAGCCACAAAAGACAAGCACAGATGGAATTGACCGAAGGGGATTCGGCGGTGACAAGAGCCGCATTACCGAGAAGCAAACGGCCTTGCTCCACCACTGTCCACATGCACAAACGACAAAAAAAAAGGGGAATCTTTCCATGTTCTACGGGAAGATTCATTCTCAGTTTGCACATTTGGTGAGCAGTGGAGTGGAAGGCCATAGACTCCCCCAAACATTTATCCGCATAGGCAAAAAGAGGGCAATCAAAACAAATGCATCTCTTAGGCATGTGATAAACACGACGACGACTCTTTTCAACTTTCGGGCATCAATTAATTTATGCGTTAAAAAATTATAAATAGTTACAGATGCAAACACAAAGAACTGGCTGACAATAAGTCTATTTAACAGCAAGCAATTACTACACATCCCACACTCCCCTTCTCTCCCTCTCTCCTTCCCTTCCTCTCACCCTAGCTCCCCTCCCTCACCCTCCCCACTAAACTAATTACAAATGTGCAGACAGTAAACTGGCTGATAACAACTTAACGAGAGTCAATTTAACAGCACGGCACAACTACACACCCCGCCTCCCTCTCTCACTCTCTCCTTCCCTCCCGCCTCACCTTAGCTTCCCTTCTTCGCCTTCCCCTGCCCTGCCCTCTTGTCTGAATGCTTCGCAATCATTGAGCACACAGAGCATCTCTCATCCCAACCAACCCCAATCATCGACAGACATGACTGAGCCCTTTTCACATTCTGAGCAAGTCCAGCACACGGCAAGCAATCCATAATTATGAACATTCGTTGATTTCTGGGAATGCAATATACATACGATAAAAGCAAAGTCTTGTTTCAGATCCACACCTCGCACTCTGCATACGAGATTTCCATTCATCCATCCATCAAGACAGCAACATAACGTTGTTCAGTCATAAGCCAGCAGGATGGTCAGACAGAACGGTGGGGCCAACATTCCTTTTCACTCAAGTGACAACACAGAGCTACAGCAAGGTCCGCGATATAAGCATATATACGTCCTCTTCTCCCTCTCTGCCTACGGTTTACCGTAGGCACTTCTGTTTGACGACGATATATATATCGTCAAACAAACAGAGCTGCCCAGTAAACCGTAGTAGGCAGAGAGGGAGGGAGAAGAGGACAACAAATGAGTCGCTGTGACAAACTGCATCAGGAGGCTCATCAGGAGGCTGAACCCTGATGAGTCGGGGAAACTCCGACAAAACAGTTTGTCACAGCCCCTCGTTTGTTGTCCACTTCTCCCTTTCTCCCTCTCTGCCTACTACGGTTTACCCGGCAGCTCTGTTTGACGATATATAACTGCCAAAAAACAAATATAAAACAGAGAAAGGAAAAAGTACAAACAAACTACTTGAAACTAGTAAATGACTGAATGGCAACAACAGACAAAACCGGCTGCAAGAAGTGCCTGGAAAGAAACAGGTTGGCCTCGAAATATTTTGGACATGCAAAGAGAGAGTCCTGAGACGGTCCCCCAGAGGCCCATCCTCTCTTTTGCTAATCATCCCACTACCCACCTAACAACACCGTTCCAGGTTCATTGAATGTTCACTGTTCCAGGTCCTGAAGGCGGCAATCAGTATGCGAATCAAGACAGCCAAACAGGAAGAAATTGCCGCCTTCAGTACCTCGAACAGTGAACATTCAATGAACCTGGACTCTTTCCGCTTGCAACCACCCCCCAGGTTCTGACCACGTCGCCTTCAGTACCTGGAACAGTGAACATTCACTGAACCTGGACTCTTTCCACTTGTAACCAACCCCCAGGTCTGACCACATCCCCTCCCTCCATCCCCTCTTCCTCTTCGTTTCTTTGACACAAATGTGCAGTCCTTATCATCACCCCACGATTTTTTAGACACTCTTGAAACCCTCAACTGTTGTTCATACATCAACTCGCCTTGGGACCGACCGCCTAAATCATTGTGGCCATCGTCTTCATCACACCACCATCCCGACACGCACGACCAGGTTCTAGACGATTCCCACCTTCCACACCTGCCACACACTATATCGAAACACTAGATGACATAATTAACAACAAGGAGGGCCACACGCTATATCGAAAGACTAGATGACTTCATTAACCAGGAGGGCCACACACCATACCACCACAGCTACACCCACACAGTGTGAAAACCTGCAAAAACAGATGAGACAAAAAGGGGGCAGCTTTAACAGAAACGCAAACAAAATACGGTATTCGTTAGGACAAGGAGGAGGAGGAGGAGGAGGGAGAGCAAGAATGACCTGGGAGTTGAAGCAATTGTGGATAGAGAAGCCATTAGAGTACCAAGAATGGACAGGTTTGAGTGCAAGGGGGGGTTAAGTTTAGACTTAGAAGAGAGATATGACAGCTTCACAATTGTTACGTGGCCCAGATGGATACTGGGGGGGGGNGGGGGGGGGGGGGGGGGGGGGGGTGAGCCGCAAGGGGCTTTATTGTCGACAACAATGGATGCGAGTAAAGTAATGATGATGATGATGATGGCCTATAGTTATACATTACCGTCTCTGGACTCTGCACACAAAACCGCCACCAATGCTCGCCAGAGGAGGAGGCAGGGGCCAAGCAGCCAGTCAGAGGCAGGAAGGCACCGACGCAAAACCACCGCCAAGAGGGGGGTGAGGAAGGTGGGGGGAGGCCCTCCCCGTTTGGCAACGAGTGTCTCCATCCCTCCTTTATTATTTTCCTCCCTTTCTTTCTTTCTCACCCCTCCGAACAAATTGAGTAACGGAAGCCATCATCATCTTAACAGAAGGCGACCAACGAGCGGACGGTTGGGATACACCATCATAACATTGTTGTGTGCTCGGAATGAAGACGAGATTGTGGATGGTATTCGTCCTCTCCCCGTTGTAATTAGCCTCCAGGCCACCATACTCCACCAAAAGGGCACCCTCCATAATTACCTCCAGGTAGGCAGACACCCACCACCACCAACCTTCAAGGAACATTCAGGGATAGGAGGAGGAAGGAGACAAAATCTCAGATTGGAACATACACAAAACCACCCACCCACCCACCCACCACCACCACCGCAACCCCAGTCTTTCCTTCTCTGCAATACCCTCTCACTTACACCACTCTCCCATTTCCTATCCATGCAGGCAAGCCAGCATGCATGCAGCCTAACTCAATCACTCCGAGCGCGCCCCCTCCCCCCCTCTCCTAAACACAATCCCCAACGTCCCAATGCATTTCTTCCCACACCCAGTCAAACCATCTGAGTCGTTAACACCATAACAATCTAGTAGAGGCTAGATTCTGCGACGCAGAACCGGCTGAAAAGATCAACCTTGCTATCACAACAAGGCGGCCAACCAGAAACAGCTTAAAAAACAATAAGCCAAAATATCGCAGATGTAGGGGTCATACGGGTAACCTTGCTTACCCGACCTCTCCAATGTTGCCTCTGTTTTGCACTGCAGCAGAGAGCAGCGCAGACCTCAAAAAAAAAAAAAAAAAAAAAAAGAAGAGATCGCAGATGTAGATCAACAAGCGCAAAAAGAACCAACTCCAGAGAAAAAAGGAAGTTTTCAACATTCTCATCTCCAGAACTGAACTGTAGGCAAAACAAAAACAGCAACTCCAGAAGCGAAGCCTCTCTCTCTCTCTCTCTCTCTCTCTCTCTCTCTCTCTCTCTCTCTCTCTCTCTCTCTCTCTCT